TCCTGTCGAACATAATGTTTCATTTATTAGCACTAGTGTAGGATTTCTAGTTACAATTTGAACTTTTCACACATCAGTAGTGATTCCTTTATTCTCTTTTTCAATTAGATATGATCTACTGCTGTTATATGTCAATAATTCGTAGGGCAGCTGAATTATGTTTGTCAAAAAATTATCTCTTTACATTAGCGCTTAATAAAATTGCTGTTTGATGAATATGTAGAGAAAGAGGGAATCACTGCTGGGGAATATTATCTTTCATAAACTAAGATTAAATCAGATATATATACACACACGGGAACAATTTTGTGTATACAATAATATCGACGAGGCAGCGTTAGAATTCGATCTTGTAAACACTGATACCATTAATCAATCCAATAGGGATGATAGTTGTAACTTACAAAGTACAATTATTAGCAGAACTAATTTAGCAGGTATTTTTTTTAAACATCTTACTAATAATCGTAGGTATCGAGTAGGAAAAAGATTTCATAAACTTTTAGAGTACAATATAAATACTGTAATATTATTTCTGCTTCGAATGTGAGACGACTTTCGGATGTATCATTCAATAAGATACTGATATGTCCACGTATTCATATTTCCAAGTAAGCAACCATTATGCCACAGTTTGATTCATAGTTAGTTCGAAGGAAAAAATATATTCGTCATATTTTTGAATCTATCGATATAAGACTTCAACTGTTCATAAACTACTAGATGTTTTTTAACTTCTAATTAACATTCGTATCTATATCATAGCATAATTCCTAAACTCTCTAAAAAAAATTCGAATATTTATTTTTTGAGAAAAGAAAATAATATTAGGGAAATAAAAGTATAAGAATCAAATTTTGACTTTATCATTCGTCAAAAACAATCATTTTCAGGTTTTGGGATAATGGCGGATATTACGTGACTTTTATCTTTTTTGCTAATTTTCTTAACTATTAGTTAGCATGCAAGTATTTCATTATTTTGTTCAAGTTCTGATCGAGACGAATATAAGCCAACTTAGTGTTAAAAAATCACTTATATGACAAAAACTCGGAAAAGTTTTCATATATTGGTTGTTTTCATATAGTATATAACATGGCAAAACTAAAACGGTGAATGTTTTTGATAGATGAAATTCTTTAGAAACGCTCGGTGGATGTCTTGTAGACTCTCATCCAGAATGGAATCAAACATAAAAATATCATTTAAATATTTCACTCATAAACATTTTTTATTGTCTAATGATCAAAATAATAACTATGAAAAATAATCCTAGTGATGCAAATGATATGACATTATACCATTGACAGGTAAAAATAGTAAAATATTTCATTTTTTTAATAATCTTTATCAAAAGTAAATGTTAACTCATTTTCATTTTTCGAAATTACGATGACAAATTATTTTCAAAAAAATTGACACTCTTTTAAATATATATACTAAAAAGTAATTCATCATTTTTCTCTGTATAATATCTATTCTTTGATAGTAAATCACTAATTATTGTCAGAGGACTAATTAAACAATGATCAATCATCGTGATGAGTTAAGTTTTTCTTCAATAATATACGATGTTTTTTGTCTTTTTCTCTTTTTTCTACCGAAACACCTAGAAAAAATAGAATAGTTCAAACGATAGAACAATAGATATTTGTTTGTTTTTTTGTTGTATACGGTTTTTCATGTTATGCACGATTTTGTTTTTCTCATAAACGATAATTAGTTTATAATGTTCGCTTCATTTAGTGAAAAAGAAGATATTTTTAAAGTAATGAATGATACATGTAGCTCATCAATAAACATATACATCCGCATGCACCCGTAGGGAATAGATCACTGCAATAGCACGTGATTAACTGTCTTTTCAATTTAAACTATTAAATACTTTTCACATACTGTTTTTTCCTCCCTTTCTCTCTCTATATTTAATAATCCTTATTCATTCTTCTTTCCTTCTTTTCAATTTTTTTACTCTGACTATTTACAGCAAAATAATATAGATACGTGTATTCAAACACGATCAAATTCAATTAGTTTAAAAATATATGAACATAAGAATAGTTTTCTTACTCACAAATATCAAATTTGAACATATAAACTATGCCTCGAGTGTTACTTAGTCGCCACAAGTACAAAAAATTTGATGTTTTTAGTTGAGATGTCAATAAACATTAGTGTTATGCTAATTTAGATTAGATTCGTTAAAAATAAAAGATAAATAACAGGACTATATCATGTTTTAAGAGAAAATTATTATTGTCACAATAACAACGAGTGTTAATCATAGATTTTATTGGTATTTATCGTCGATAAATTTTGTGAATACAATTCCTTTGCCATTTAATGCGTGCTCATCATTGAGAATTTTATCACTCATATTTATGTTTAATATATGTGTTCGTTTTTGTATTAGAACATATGACTACTACTTTTTTTTATTCTTATTTTTCTAATTTCAGTGCCACTAAGTGCATAGGGTTTTTTTTTTCTTTTTTAATTTCATCTACACGAAAACGTCAATTATGTTTTGATTATGACAAATTCTTTAATATAACGCATATATGTATTCATTCAATTAACCAATACTTCTCCTATATAATACCATATATATATATTTAGAAATTGTTGTCCTCTAATAGACATTAAATTTTAAAATTATAGAAATTTTAATATGTACTGTAATCACATTTAGACGTGTCTATTAAGAAATGTAACAGAACGGGAAGGAAATCCGATTTTATACCGGTGTACTTCTTCTGTTTCATTTAAATTTATGATGTTCTTATGAACTGTCTTTCTATCGAATAATGACAGAAAATTAAATAGGAAGTTAAGAATAAAATTAGTTTTTCACATACTTTTAATGAAACAATCGTCGAATAGTACCTATTTTTTTTGTCAAATAAATCTTTGATAGATGAAATATTGAACGTCAAAAATAAACAATGAATTGAGATCATCAAAAAGGTTTCAAGATTTAATCAGTTCTATCGCTGTTTAATACTAATACATTTGATAAAATGACTTTACATGATCCATTCCCTCGAGATATCTTTATCTATAATTAAACTAGGTTAACTTTTTTTTGATAAAAAAAATGGATAAAAAAATATAGATAAAATTATTCTTATGGTAATTAGACAAAACTAAACCTTTTTTGATCTTTTACAAATTAGTAAATTAAAATCAAAAAAAAAAATTGTGTTAGCTTAAAAAATTGACAGTAGATTAAATTTTAGTATGACTAGTCAAATTATTATTGTTTTTCTTTAAGAATGCCACACACACACACACACACACATACACACAATACTTTTTGTTTTAGTTAAAAGCTATATAAACATATTTGCTTTCAAACAATTAGTTGTTCAATGTTACGATGATCTTTTTTATATTTGTCTGGAAGTGAGCATTGTCTTCAGAAAAATTACAATGTATGTCTATTCACAAATGATTGATTTTGACTTTATATTATAACAAAAATCTATTATATTTTTATATTTTTTTTTTTCAAAAAAACAAAAAATGAATGAAAAAAAACAGGAAAAGAGGTTTCATTCATTCATTCATTTAGTTTTCATCTTACAAATATTAGAGTACTACTTGACTAGAAATTAATTTCTTTTCTCATTTTGCATCTATATGAGAGAGAAAGATGAGCATAAAAACAATACACTGACAACACCACACAACTATGTGTATAATATATAAAATCTCTTCTTTTCTAAATAATAAAAAAGTTATCGTTTCTTCTTGTTTTCTTCTAAAACTCATTCTTGTACTTTTGTTTTTTTTGTATATTGAACTATATGACTCTATGACGGAAATCTTTTTGATATTGATTGAAAAATGAGAAAGAGAGAATATTTTTTAATTGAGAAATCATGTTGCTACTATTGAAGTGTTTTCATCCGAAAGCCACAAATAGTTGATAAATATATATCATTGAAGAATTATGAAAATTAAATTAAAGAATGAATGATTAAGAATCATTTACAGTTTTTCATTAAGATTAAATGACAAAAAAAAAATAAATTGTCATAGATCTTTAAATCTTTTAAATGATTTTATTTATACAATCATATTTTAAAAAAATTTCAAAAATAAACATTTTTTATTTTTAATGAAATAAATTTTTGTTTTAGTAATAGAATACAATGAATTTTTTTTTGCTTTCTCAAATATTCAATGTTCACAAGTTTGTCAGAGCCGTGGCCAAAGGAAGGGTGTAAGGAAATGTACACTCCTCCTACTTCTGGAAAAAATTTTCTCTTTAATAATCTCTTTTCATCCAAGAATTTCGTTTGAACTCTTGCCCTGATTTATGGTGACCAATCTAATCAAAATTTAACAAATATATGCTTTCTTTCATCTTGTCTCTCAAAATAGTTGAAAGTAAAATTTTTCTCGTACTTTTCTTCAATGAGAAAAAAAGCTCAAATTGACAACAACATTATCATTTAGTTATTGTGTTGAAATTATGATGATAGATGATGTTGTGTTCTATGATTTTCTCTCAAATAAATTTACATTCCTCCTACTTTTTTTTTTCTATCGCCACACCCCTAAATTTTGCTAACTTTTAATAGTCCTAAATAGTAATTGTGAACAAGTGTAATTAAACTCAATGTAGAAAGAAAAATGCCTGTATGTGACAATAAATTATCAGTAATCATGTAGGCATGTGCAACAGAGTGTTAATTGAAGGAAAAAGATTGATGTCCATCAGCAGTGATCCTATTTTAATCATGTCGATAGATTGTTTAACGTCAACTTTTCTTCTAAAACTGAATAATATAAATAGAAAAAAAAAATAACATTAAAAAACAAAAAAGATTTTCGGAAATTGCAGTCATAAAAAGAAGAACAATTAGTTAAGAAGATGGTATTATGCTTCACTATGAACGGTATAACCAGGTTTAATTTTGATCAGAGAAAGAGTACCATTGTGGATAATATTTTAAAATGTTGTTCCTATTTAGAATCTGTTATCGTCGATCATGTTCAATCCACCAGAGATCGACTATCATCGTTACTATCGTCCATCATCATCAAGAATTATCACCACAAATGATGATACATCCCGAATATTAACAGATTCTGATCCATTGTGGAAATTTTATTCCTACGATCCATTATTAAGTATCAGTGCTCATATGCCATTTAATGATACAATGTTAATAACTACAAATACCTCTTCATCATCTTTTGTTAATTCATCGTCGATACAACAGACTGAAGACGATGCTAGTAATGCATTACTCTATTTAATCGTACCTATTTATTCTCTCGTATTTGTTACTGGTACTATTGGAAATATTCTTGTCATACTCACTGTTCTTACAGTTAAACAAATGCGAACAACAACAAACGCTCTCGTCCTTCATTTAGCTATAGCCAATTTATCATTTGTTCTACTATGTATTCCACATACTCTTTATGTCTATGTGGCAACATCTTATCGTTTCCCGAAAGCTATTTGCAAAGTAACTTATACCATGATGTATTTAAGTGCATATGTTAGTATTTACATTCTTGTACTAATGTCTGTTGATCGATTTTTGGGTGTTGTATTAGCTGTAAAATCCACACGTTTTCGAACACAACGTAATGCTCATATTGCTGTATCAATTGTTTGGCTATTTGGTATTATATTTGCATCATCAAATATGTTTGTCTACGATGTCATTCCCTATGAAGAACATGTATTTTGTACTACAAAAACAGACGTTCCATTCTTAAATTTAGTACGAAAAATATCGGCCTATTGTTTTGCATTACTTGGCCTTTTTATACCATTGGCTCTCATAGCTGTTCTCTACGGACTTATTATTAATACGCTAAGAAAAAATGCTAAAGGTAAACAAGTACAAAAGGGCAAAAAACGCGTAACAAAAATGGTATCAGCTGTTATTTCATCATTTGTCATTTGTTGGTCACCAATGCAAATTTATCTATTGTATACTCAAGTTTACTCACAAACAATTATATCACTCGCTATTATTGCACAAATTCTTGTCTATATTTCATCTTGTATCAATCCAATATTGTATGCATTTTTATCCGAACCATTTCGTAAAGCATTTCAACAATTTTTAACATGTTCAAAAATTAAATTAATCACAACAGATACAATGGATAATACGACAAAGACTACTGGTCGAAAAGAGAGTTCAATATTAAGACAAAAACGTGATTCAAAAGCTAAATTTAATTTACCACCAAAAAAGAGTCATAAACGTATTTTAAATAATAGCAGTGAGAATGTGAAAATTAGTTTGAGCAATATTAATGAAAATACTTTAATGATCTATGAAAACACTGAATATGAAAGATTGTCAACAAAATAATATAACGTGAATTATATGTTACCGAAAAGCTTTTATTTATCGTTTCTTTTGCTCGATTGAGTTTGGTGCTTACTTATTTATCTACTGTTATTCGATGAATTTTTTTCTTCTTCTTTTTCTTCTTCTTCTTCTTCGTCTCCCTATAAATATATTATTTTTGGTTGAAATTGTAATACGAAAGATTAAACATGACATGCAATGCAGTACAATCGAATCGTTTACACTTCATATTTCAGAAATCTTAAAACATAAAGATAGAAAAATTTAGAGTCATATGTATTTCAAAAAATGTAGAATAATAAATACTATCAAAGTGTAAAAGTTTTAATAGAATAGGATCATGATTTCTACTTATTTTTTGTTTTTAGCAACGAGATATATATTTATAGTTTTAAATGATACAAATAGTGCATAAACTTGTATGGAATGATTAAGTAAATTATACTCATTTTCTTTCTACTTTTTCTCTATGGATAAGAACATGTAAATTTCAATAAAGTAGATAACAGAATAAAAGATTTTAGAATACTTTCAACAATGATGATTTTTGATAATAAGGTATTATGTTAATTATTTTTATAGATGAGGACGGAATTATTATTTCTCAAAAACTATGTTCTCGTCACGTTTTTGCACCCGACTGCTATCATCCATAATACTTTTCATCTAGTCAAAAGTTGAGCATATAAAAGAAACAAATTGGCATACACAAATTGAAACTACTAAATGATTCTCCACAAACTATGTTCTCATCACTGTAGTCGATACAGGTAAAAACAGAGCGTTCGGAGTCGGATCTGGTTCTAAAAAATCATGACACATTTTTCGTTGATAAGTAGAAGTGTGCAGAGTGATCCTAACCTAAGGTAGGAAAAGGATACAAAAATTTTTTTCGAGGGATTGGATACAGAGTAAGACTTTATCCGACGATATAAAAAAAGCTTAATATTAAGTTCTATTTGCTCTATTATTGGTGCATTGATTGGTGATTTAGTAAACGAATATCTGTCAGAAACAGTTCAAAATATGTTTTTATTGTTTTTGAATAAAACTGTGGCTAGACAAACGAGCTTCGATTTCTGAACGAATCATTCATATTTTACCCTTACTTTTCTACGTGTAGGTGTTGAGCAGTGTACAGGATGCAGACTGTCTAAAGTGAATATGATAGGGCACACAAAACTGATATTCTGCACACTTTTATTGATAAGAACATTTCCTAGATGTTAAGATTACTTGTATAGTGAGTGTTTTACTGTCTTTATGTATCTGTCATTTTTTCTATCCCATAAATTTTCATCGTTTCACTATATTTTTCTAGTTTTTCTGGTATTCGCTATTGGGCATGCATGACAGTTAAAGAGTATGATATTATTTATTAGTATTTTAATCGACCGTTTTGTTTTGCGTCTGTAGACCCATATAAAACGTGAAAATTTAAACAGGAACATCTCGTTTCTTTCGATTAATTTCTTTCTTTTTTAGATAAGTGTTGTAGCTGCTTCCATCTGAGACTCGTCGGTGTTAACTCGTCGTTTCGGTGTGAGTTAACTTTTCAGCCGAGTGGTTCGTCCAGTGGACGAGGTTCACTGGGTGGCTCAGATGCGAAAGAATTTTGGAAAGAAAGTGGTCGTTTTTCTCATACTAAATAAATTTCAATTCGATAAAAAATCCAGGAAAAAAAGGCTAGATTACGCTTAAAATTGAGCACAGGAGTCGAATTCAGCATTTATTTGTTTGGGGAAACTCCTGGAGAAATTCCTAGGGACTCTTTCTAAACTCCCTGGGGGTTGTTTCCAGGGACTCCCTGGCGCGTTTTCCAGGAAAAGAGGACTAGAATACAATTGTTAGTACCAATTTTCAAGAATCAACACATCCATCTTTATTTCAGGGACTATTGAGGCTAGCTCAATGGTTCAGATTGGTTGTTGCGAACGAGAGATGGGTCTTAAAAACCGCTGGACTATAAGTCTGATACTTTATACTATGTCCATCACTTGACAGAATGTTACATTTCGTACTCACTCGTCGTATACAAGGATTGAGTACAAAACAAATATTCTAATCAGAGCCAAGTAATCAAGACACTTCCCGACTTGCACCCGAAGTCTTAAAGTGATGTTTTACTGATCATGTTCACAGAAACATTTCTCAAATAAAACCGCGGTAAATCTAGGGTATTTTTGTCTCACTGCGGTTTCTCTGTAGCAAACCGCGGTTAACTTTCTCGATCCAAACTGTGGTTGGAAAAACCGATGAAAACCACGGTTTTCAGAAGCCTGGTTTTGATCGAATCGAGTTGCAGTGGTGGCATCGAAAACCGCGGTTTCAACGAGAGAGACTCCCGGCAAAACTCCAACGGGAGTCCCAAGTTTATGAAAAACCTAGCAGGAATCGTAAGGAGTCCTGATGACTCTCGCAGGAACTTTCTAAAGTGAAAGTCCAACATGGAGCCATGAGGAGTCCCCAAAAAATTCTTGCAGGAGTCCTGTCGAGAGTCCTGTTGGAGAAAGTCATGCATGACTTTCCTACAGAACTCCTCAGAGAGCAGAATTTTTTTCTTATAACTCCCATAAGAGAAAGTCTGTCAAGAGTCCCTAGAAATGTGTACTCCCCGGGAGTCACCCTCACACTCCCCAACCTGTGCAATCCCCGAGGAGTTCCTGCCAACTCCCCATTCACCGTTTGTTTTGCAGATAGGCAATATATAAATATAATGTAGTTCTATGATAAAATTTTAAAAATTTTCTTCTAGTAAGTCAACATTAATGTGTCAACCTTCGATGGGTGATATGTGCTCCAGCGGTACCAGTGATAGTATCTGACACTTAATTACTAATTAGTTACATGAAACTAAGAAGATGGATCAATAGACCCAGAGGGAGTCCCCAAGGACTCTCTTGAAAATCCCCGAGAACTTCCCAGGGACTTCCTTAAGAATCCCATAGAACTCCTGTGGGAGTCTTGAGGAATCCCTCTTGAGGATCCTGCCGGGCCCCGTGACAGGACTCCTGCGGGAGATTAATCAGGAGTCTCGACTAGGGAAAGGGATGCGATTTAGTGAGAATGAGCTGCGGTATCTGGAACCGCGTTTTTTTAATTTTTTATATACCGCACCAAACTCGATTTAAGACGCGATCTGTGAATACTCGGTTTCTTAAACCACGATGTTTAAGATTTAAACTTCAATTTATCTTCCAAAAGTACACTGCAAAAAAACAAGTGTCTCAGGGCACTTTTTAGACCGATGAATGGGACATTTTGAAAACTGTCCCACTATGAGGCACTTTTTGGAGCCACTGCCAACGCGAAAACTGAGAAACAGTGCCCAGTAGTAGAACACTTTTCAAAATATTCGATTCATCGTCCAAAAAGTACCTGGGATACGTGTTTTTGTACAGTGTACAAAAAAGAATTATATATCACTGAGATATCAGAGAGAAGTGTATGATAAGGATCCTTATGGTGCTCGTCAATGTCGACCTCCGAATCGACATGTTAATCACATCAGAAAGGCGAAAAGTGCTCAGAAGCACTTAAAATCCAGTATTTGCACTTTTTCATTTCTTACAGAATTATTTGGAGCCCAAACAAAAATGTACCGATTCGTTGGTATATACGGCCTCTCTCTGGTTCCGATGCATTAAAACCATTATATTTCTAACTTCCTTCCGAGCGTATTAGAACTTTCTTTCGAGTAAAAACATGTTTTGGACCTTTTAGCCCCTTTTCCGTGCCGTTTCAGTAGAAATACAGCATGAACTTTCTCTGTATGACTCACGCAAACTGAGCTAAAAAGCCGGGTAAAAGTGGCGAGATACTCAATAAAATTTTGAAAAAAAATAATAATTGCGCTAGCTGCCTTCGGACCAGGGTATTTTGCTTGAACGTCGAAAACCTTTTACAGCAATAGGCTATTTGACGCATTTGTCAACCAATCTTGTGATGGTTATATTGAAAAAATGTTGAACCAAATCACTGTAAAAAAAAGCAACCAAATGTCAGACCAGCCGGATTACGCCTCATCAAGCAAGCAAAATAAATCTTGTAAAACCTGAGCTAAATTTTTGTTCCTTTTTCATCTACCTCCAAAATTTTATATTAAAATTTGATTAAATTACTCAGGTCAAAATTGACGTTCACAACAGCCGCAATTGCAAACAAAACAAACCTTTTAACTGCTACTGAATATCTAGCGGACTGAAAAGGTGCCTCAAGTAGACTTACTTTATATGAACAGAACAATTCTGGTTGTTATACTTTTTGCTTTTATTCTTTCTACATATACTTTTATCATTCTATGATTATATTATACAGACTAGAACATTTTCATTGCCATCTAGTTTTTGAACTCTGAACGGTAGCAGCACTAGTTATACGAAAAACGAAAAAAATAAAATAAAAACACCTGTTATCGTAAATATGTGTATAAACAACAAAAATGGTCACTGGAACAACAAAAACAAGCATCATTCTCGTACTTATATATGACACAATTCACTTTTAACAATCAATATTTACACCTTTAATATACACACACACACACGGATATAAGTCTCAAAAACTCGATGATAAAATCAACAGCAACAGCAATAAAAAAAGACCTGAGGAAAAAAGGAGAAAAAAACGGGTGAAATTAAAGCACCAAGAAACCGCTTTGCGTCTCTATACACACAAACGAAAAAAGGAATGTAAGAACAACAAATAAAAATGTTCATAAAACATAGAAACATTCCCTCGACATTTGGCATAGAAATGAAAGACATTCGTTTTTATTTTTATGAAATATACTGTACTCAAATTTTTGGTACGATCCACTTAATTAGATTTAATTGGATTCAGAAAATCGGCCACAACTCCTTTTGATTCGAATAATTGTTTCACTTTTGAATTTTCATGTTGATTTTGTCCCCATTGTTGATACACAGCATCCGTTGAGCCTCGTTGAACAGCAGCTGTCGTAGTCGACGATGCGGACGCCGTTGAAGATGAGCTGGATGACGTTGAGGCATAATGATTAAAGTCAAAACGGCGACCGCGACGAGATCCATTTGCATATAAATGAGTACCCATATGAACTTTTAAATTACCCTTGGTAGTAAATGCTCGACCACAAACCTGTAAATATTAATATTTAATTAAAAAATTTTCATAGCTGATTGCTCATTATTCAATATTTGATATAGATTGAAGTTATACTTACATGACATTTGAATGGTTTTTCTCCTGTATGAGTTCTCATATGAATCTGAAGTGCGGATGCAGATGAAAAATTTTTTGTACAAACATTGCATATATGTTGTAGAGATGATGCTCGTCTGCTAGTTGAATTATTCTGTTCACCGCTATCATTGGGTGGACTGGTTTCAGTTCCTCTTGACGATGATCGAGATCGTGATCTTTCAGATGAATGAGTTGTTGAGTCTGTTGGAGAGACGGGATTTGAGAGAGATGGTGGATTTCTAATGTCCAATGTTAACGATGAATTATCAGAATCAACCTGCATTTTATGATCATCGACGCCATTATTTAGAGTTTGACTATCACTCAGTTTATTCGTGTATATACCTGCGAAAACAGAAAAGAATGAGTTATTCCTGCATATTTTATTTCTTGTTCAACATACTGTTGTTATTATTTGTGTCTGTCATTGTAATCTGAAGTTGTTGTTCATAAGCTGATGGATCTGCTCCTCCCATTGCGGCAAAAAAAGGAAAAGTTGCTGCATTTAACATGCCCAATTGTGATAGTGTCATTCGACTTGCTGCCGGATAAAAATTGGGTGGAAGTAAAGGAAATGGATTTGAATAATGTAATGGATTTGTTGTATATGCTGCAGCTGCAGCTGAAGCGATGGCTGCAATCGAATTTGATAGTGTTGTTGCTGCTGTCACTGATGAAGGCAACGGCGTTGGTTGCGCATTGGAGGTTGATACTGTTGATGAGGCTTTTTGCAACGATGGTTCAATCACACTGGTTGGTTCGTCAGACTAAAAACACGAGAAAAAAATGATGTAAAATAACCGATATTTCGAATCTAAACTTACCGAATCATGAGATCTTGATGTTTGCGGTGATTTACTCAAGTCTTCAGCATCATTCATTTCGTCTGATCTGTCTTGTGCATTTTCAATTAATTTCATCGCGGCTTCAACTTTGGCCGGATTTGATTCATCTAAATATTTTTTACCCAATAAAAGAACTTTACAGATCAAGAGTTTACAACGAAACTTACTTAAATGGACTTTTAAATGTTGTTGTAATTGAACATAATTTGGATATTGTTTTTGACATATGGGACATATTTCAGTGCTCGATTTTATTGCTGATGGTGGTATTGTGCCAGTCAATCGATGAACGTTCATATGTGTTTTCAAATTTCCTAAAAATTCAACATTTAAGACAATTGACATTACTAAAAGAAACGATCGAACCTTTTGTAGAAAATGCTCGTGCACATATTTTACATCGAAATGGTCGTTCACCCTGAAATAGATTTAGAATGCAATATGTGTACAAAGAGTTCTTTTTCTTTTTATTATAAACTCACCGTATGTGTTCTATAATGCATTTTTAATGCACTTTGACAACTTAAAATTCGTTTACAAACAACGCATTCATTTGGATCTGTTTTGGTTGTTGTGCGTTCTAATTGATCAATCATATCTTTTAACTAGAAAGTAGAATATATTAAGATCGGTATCTCGTGGCGTCTAAAATGGTGAGCAAAAGTTTAGGACGCTGTATTTTCGACTTTTTTCCTCGAGTGGGATATCAAAAAAGATTCAAAACGTGGTTTAAGTAGCTGGAAAATTTTCTGATCAGAATAAAAACTTCATCAAAATTCCTGCAGATATTCTAGTCACTGTAAAACCAAGATTTTAGAAAACCCTATAAAATCAAGTCCAGGAATTCTAACGGAAACTTTTAGTAAACAGCTTAGTCGTGTAGAGCGAACATTTTTGAGTAAAACTAGATATTGTCAAGCTCTTCATGACGTTTTTTCAGCCACCTTTATTCAATTTACGAAAGGATCCTTTACGATAAAAAAAACGAGTGAAAACGACCGAGATATTCTAAACTTTTGTTCACAACTTTAAAAGAGCAAATAAATTTGTGTCAATACTATATCGAGTGATATTTTTTCTTACCTTGGCCATATTTGGATCTTCTGGTTCTCCTTCTCTAGATTCCATTTGAAATTGATCAAAATTAATTACTGAGTTATTTGATAAAGTTACTGTGGATGTTGATGGTATTGTAGTGGAAATATCATCTTCATCTTGATCCTCATCTTCTTCTTCATTCTCAACATGTACAGTGGATAAAATTGGATCAGTTTTTGAGGTGGATAGATTTAATGGTGTCGATGATATATCATCATCTTGCTTCATTTCCACATTTTCTTTTATATTGTTGGGAGTGATCACTACTATTTGTTTTTTTGCATGTTTTCGTTCTGATCTTAAACGATGACGTTCAAAATGAACTTTTAAATTTGCACGCGTAGTAAAACGATGATCACACAATGTACAAGGAAACGGCTTTTCACCTGAAACCAGAAAAAATATTCAGTTTAGTTTAAACAGACAAATTCGATAGTTTTGGTATTTCAGTGTTTAGGTTCTGATTTACTTAGATAGTTTATGATTTAAATTTAGAGATCTTAAATACTTGAAAAGAAATGCTTCGCATAAAATTGGTAGAACGCGTATTCGAAACAGTATCTTCGTTGATGAAGGACAGAACTTATTTCTGCGCTTGTAGCGACATCTTATCGTAAATGAAATGGTTTATAAAAGATAAAATTTGTAACTGAATATACCTCAATAAAAATATCCAGCTTCTTACCTGTATGCGATCTGCAGTGAATTTTTAACTGACTAATACTTTGAAATCCCTTTCCACAGTATGTGCATGTACGACGGTATAAATTCGATGTGTGATCATTGGCTGCATATAAATTCTCTAGATAAAGAAAAACAAAATACATTATAGTTTATAGTAAAGATCTGATATCATTCATACCTTTTAAAAGTAAACTAGTTTTAAAATTTTGATCATTCTCTGAATAATTTTCATTCTCATTTTCTTCATCAAAATTAGTTTCATTCTCAATTAAACTTTCTTTAGTTGTTTTACTGCCATTTAACTGTTGTTGTTGTTGATACGATTGTAGTTGCATTTGAAACTGTTTAATCATGATCATTTGTAAACGTTGTTGTTCTTGAATAGCTTGTAGAGCTAATTGTAATTGATCTAAGTCTGGAATAGTTTCGAATGGTTTTGGTGTGGATTCACTTTTTTCCGACATACATTCATCATACGCTTCATCATAGATATCATCATCTTCTAAATCTTTTTCCTCATCACATTTAGAATGAAGTTTTAAATTTTCATTTATGGATGATTCATCAACATTATTAATTATTGGATGTGTATTGTTGTTATGATTTAAGTTGAGAGATGGTAGTGATGTACCATTATTCTCGTTTTGATCGTTTGATACTTGATCATCATCATTCGACATTCTAGAATAGAAACCTAATCGTTTAAAAACAATAGTCTAAGGTGTTAACACAATGATACAAATCAGATATGAAAGGAGAAGAGTTCTCGCCTAGTCTTGATTCGAAATTGTATAATGTAGAAGAAAGAAAAAAAATGTTACAATTTGATTCTAGTGTTATGAGCATGTTCAAAACTGCAACCTGATTCGTCTCTACAAATTATCTCTTTTATTTGAAAAACTTTTAGACTATAATATGTTAGTCTTATTTTTTATAAGCAGTCAAAACTGACGTACTAAGTAAATGACGAAATAAAGATTGACATATCGATAGTACAAGAATTTATTATCCAAATGGTATATAATACATGTATATTTCATTGTTCGATTTATTTTAGAATCTATCGAAACCTTTTATTTATCAATTAATAGAATAAATGTTTTATAAGAGATAAGTTCACAAATCATACTAATTAATGATATTATATGCTTATTACGTGGGTTAATATATTAAACTTTTCTCATATTTTGTCACAGTAAAAGAGAGAAATTCGTTATAGTCTTCACAATATTTTATATTCATTTCTATGATATAAATAAGCATAATCGACAACAATACAGAAACTTGAGTACATACCTTGTGTATCCGATGAAAATGTTTATTTGTCTGTATAATAATATCTCACATTGAATTAATAAAATACAAAAAAGAAAAGACTATTACTACGTTATTTTTTTTTTATCTTTTTAAAATATGAATAAAAAGTAGCTAGCAAACAAGTAACTATACTGTCTTTCTCCTTTATTCGTCTTATTACACGGTTCTAACACGCACACCACACACGGTCAAATAAAATGAAAAATGAAAAAAAAAAAAAATGAAAAAAATGAAATAAAGTATATATAGTAGGAGAGATATGTTTCTTGTTCTTAGTTATAGAGTTATATATATATATATATATATATATATTTATATCTATAAAATAAAGCCAAACAATCGTTTTTGTTTCAAATAAAAAAAACTTGCAAACTCCGAAGTTTGTTTTCGATTAAAATATTTCTCTCTAGAAAGAAATGTGTTGTAATAAATCGTATAGTTACAGTAGGAGAGAGAGAGAGAGAGAGAGAGAAAGAAAGAAGAAAAAAAAGAAAAAAAATTAATCAACATATAAAATAGATAATATGCATTCTAATATGATTTTATTCTACAAATATATAGTATAATATATTATTTCGATATATATGTTCTAAAAAAAACATACAATAGGGACAAAAAAAGAATAAAGAAAAAGAAAAAGACGATAAAGAAAGTTGTAAATTGAAATAAATCTGGAAACATATAGCTATAGAAAATGTTACCCATATATAATCGAGAAAAGAAGAGAAGAAAAAATTATCAGTTATTGTTTTAATAATAAATAATTCTAAGAAGAAAAACAAAATCTTAGCTAATTGAATAGGACATCAATATCGAGTTTTTTTTTCTGAGAAAAAAAATATGAAAAGATAAAAGAAAGATTAGATAATTAAAATTATACTTTTGAATTTATTGAAAAATTTGAATAGAAAATTTATAATCTCAAAATTGAACTAACCATTGATACTCTTCAGCATCATGTTTTTCATCTCATTATGCATTAATTTATTAGTCTAATGTCATTTATAAAAAAAATATTTGCATGTATTTGAAATTAAATTTTAACCATCGTTCTGTTGTCTATTGTTGGTTTTTTCTCCATTTTTAACTCTTTTTAAAAAAATGGGGTATTTTTTATCGGTATTCATTTTTTTTACAAATAAAAAAAAATATATGATTATTTCTGATTATTGAACATGCTACTTTGTATATAGAAGAGCGAATTACTAATAGTTTGAGGGTTATGATAGAGAGAGACAACGAAACGGAAAATGAAGACATCAATTGATCATTGATCAACAATATAATATGCTTTTTTCTTCTTTTTCTATTAACATTTTTTTTTTTTTTTTCTATGATCATCATCATCATTTTATTATATTGAAACGACCCCTGCATTTATATTTTTTTTATATCTTTATATACATTATTAATGGCAAATAATATATATATAAAATAAAAATAAAATAAAAGATATTTATATAGACTTATTAAAACATTTGGTAAAAATAAAAAAAAAAAAAAAAAAAAAAACAGGGAGAGGAAGAATAAAATATATATAAGGTGATCATAGCGGATAAGAACTTATATTTATGAAAAGCAAATATATTGTTTAAATGGTGTTATTGACTCAGACAGTGAAAGATAAAGACATTTTTTTATTATTACTGTTATTAATATTCAACTATTGGGGCTGACACATCGATATTCTTCTATTAGTAGGATTTTACACGATAATAGAGAAAGAAAAAAAAAATGACAGTATTACAATGAATTAGAAAAGATTTATAATATAGAAATAGTAGTTAGTTGTAATGCATTGATTAAATATTATTTTTTCTAACATCAACAAGAAAATTATTTAAAGAAAAAAACGAAATAATAATAAGACGGATACTTCGACAGATGTTAAGCCAAGCTTAGGATTTTAGTTAAAATGATATAACCAGAAATATCTAAAAATTCATTTCTTTCTTTTATTTTATATTAAATATGAGAAAATTTCCACTTATGTTTTGTGTACAACAGTACTTATCGATAGACTATTCTTATAGCCTATTTTTCCTAATAATAATGTATGAGAGAGAGAGAGAGAGAGAATAAGGAAAGTGATGATGTGTAATAGACACTAAAGAGGTAGATGATACGTTTAGTTTTATAAATAAAACTCTATCTTTCTAATATCTATTATTAGTGTGCCATCTGAACAATGTCAAACTAAAATATCTTTTTTCGTCTGTTTTTTAAACATATTATTCTCAATGTATTTATTATACGAGATTATTAAAAAATGATGGTGAAATATTGACAATATATTAATAAAAAATACAATGTTTTATGAGACGTTAAGCATGTAATAATTATATTTCTTTTCTCTATATTTTCAATATTTGTCTATAATGAGACTAATAATAATCTGTTTGAGAGATGATGAAAAAGGAAAAAATACTTTTCTAGATAGAGAGAGACAGAAAAAAATCCGTTTGTTTTTCAAGCTTTCTTATATTAACTAGAACTACATATATATATTTTTTTTGTTGTTGTTGTTCTTGTTTTTCAACAATGGTAAAAGACTAACCCCAGATTATCACTCTACTTTGATGATTGTTCAAAAAAACAACAACAAGTATAAGACATTCTCATTAGGCAAATAGAAGTTCTAAACAATATTAAATTACAATAGAATCATGATCAGATAGAGAAGTCAACAATGACAGATCTATCAATGTCAGAATGTATAAGACATCATACCTTCATATTGTTAAACTAGTCGAAAATAGTAAAAATATTGAATAATTTAATACCTGAGATAAATTAATTTTCCTCTTCTTCAATAATTTTGTTGTTGTTGTTTTTTTTGCTACAAGAAATATCGATCCATATAGAGAGACTTATTGTTCAATTATTTTATTTTATAACAAATATTGATTAGTAACTTACCTTTAACTAGTACTTTTTTTTATAATCTAAACTTTGTCTTTAGATCGTTTTTGATGTTATTATATGATGTTTCTCTTCTTCTCTTCTTTTTAACAAATGTTGTATAGTTATGTAAAATTGCAACATTTATTATTATTCTCGATTTATTTTAAGCTTAAAACTGACTGACTACATTTTCATAATAAGGTTGATGATCATGGATTTTAATTTTTGTTTTTTATTCATTTACACAAAAGATGAACAAACAAACCACCTTTGTGTTAGAACTAGTAATATGTTCTCATCATTAGAGATATTTTATACATGTTAAGTAACTTCAACTATGTAATGGATAAGCTCTATCGTTTAAAAAGAGGATTGAATGAATGAATGAATGAAATAAAATGAGAGGAAGTAGTAGAATACAGTTGAAAGATTAACATACTATGAATTGTTTTCATTTTTATTATTTTATATATATATATGAACATTGACACCCTCGTCGTTTTTTTAAAATGCACGAATAACAACATATCATTTTTGGTGAATAAAAATAGAATATATTGTTTCATTATAATTTGAACAAAAATTACAATTTTTTAAAATGAACGCATTTAAATTCATTTTCAAGGTTTCTGTTGTTTTTTTTTCGTTCAATAAACATTATTCATCAATAAAAATCAGAAAAAAACAACAACAATTAAAAACAATGATAAAACTGTTCAAGTTTACTTTTTGAAAATAAATCATTACATCGACTCTATGAAGAAAATTATTCTATGGTCTAATTGAAATAAAGAACAAAATTCATTATCCTTTTTATTATGACAACATGCTTTATAAAGGTAGTAGATGATCTGAATTATTTTATTGTGAAATTTTTTAACGATCACATTTCAAACTTAAATGAATGTGTACGTTTACAGCACACGATGATGTATTGCCCACTGACATCTTTTCCCTGATAGTCGTCAAATTTGTCATTTTTTTTATCCAAAAACAAAAATAAGTAAAATACTATGATGAAATTCATTCTCTAGAAGACGAACGCGTCAATAAAAAGAAAATTAGGCCTATAATCGAGTTGCTAGTGATTTGTCAAACGACATCTTGAAGTTATATCGAGTTCTTTTTCACATCATTGTTTATGAAATACTAATTCACACTATCCAACGACTATGGGTTTTTTTATGCTCATCAAGGTATGTAGTTTTAATACATATGCATCATATTCTAGACGAAAAGAGAGTTTCAATTGTACACTATTCTTATATAACGACGTAAATTGGAATTCTGATCCCCATTTTTATACACAAAATCCTTTGTCATTTTTCATGATTTTTTTGATGATTTTTTCTGACTTTTATCTAATATTTTAAAAAATTTTAAATGAATAAATAATCAATAAAAGATCTTCATTTCAAATAATGTGTCATGTTGCAATACATTCAATATTTTTAAGCAT